TTTTAAACTTTTTGATTTGAGCCTGCGCTGTGCTTGAAAATAAAACAGTGTGGATGTCACAGCACAGAGTGTCAGTCGGCGGGCCAGCTGCTGCTGGTTTGGGGGTCATAATTGAAAATAATGAAGGCGTAATTTTTGACGCACATCATATGACATTTGTGTATATTGCCCTTCAGGAAATAACTAGGTGTGCCACGACCAGATGCCAGCATTAAAAAAGAAGAGGGTAACGAAAATAGATAAACGGACAAATACGATATGTATAATTAAATTGGGGATATTAGAAAAAAAAATGTAATATTACTTATGAATACTGCAATGACGAAAACATTGCAATAAGCATGTATTTTACCAACTTCTGTTCTGTCATCACAACATTTCCTGTGTTTTAGCATTTCATCCACTATCATTGAAAATGAATGCAGACAATGAGAGGCCAACAGACTAACCAAATAGTATTAACAAACATGATTTACTAACTATATAAATGAATGGACAATGAACTARAATAAATGATGCCAAAAAGGCACTAAAATGAGTGTACATTTTAGCCACACATACAATAATTTTAGTTATTTTCCCCCTTCATCTGCCAGTGCCTGTCTCTTTGTCCATCATATACRTCCTTTCTGTCTCCCTGTCTGCTTATTAGGAATCCCAGAGGTTTTTATACGGAGCATGTTGGCGAGTCTTACCAAGAAAACCTGTGGGATCTATTAAAGACTTGCCTTTCTTGTCTCTGACTTCCACCCACTATAAAAACAAATGCACTGTTCTTTAACGAGAGGAAGCTAAAGTGCAGGAAGGAGCTGATTTTTATCTGTCAGTCTGGACAGTCATTAGCTTCATGCTACACTGAAATGAACTGACATGTTGGAAAAGAAATGGCATTTTTTAAAAACTGGTTGGCTGCCAAGCACAGTCTATTCATTACATACAGCAGAAAGTTGTAAAATAATCTTGTTTGCCTTGCTTGCTTTGTATTTTAGAAATGTATACAGAATTATACATAGATTATAACATATATTATAACACCCAGCCTTCCAGAAGTGTATGGAGGACCGAAACTGGCATAATTAAAAATAAAAGCAGAAATACATAAAATGACAAACAAACAAATAAATAAATAAATACAATTAAAAGCACCAATTACATTAAAAAAGAGAACTTAATCTCATGTTTAATAAGTTAATGCATATATTTTTGCCAGCTTAGTTCCAATAAATTATATATTTTAGCACATAAATTACATTTTAGTTTTTCAAAATACATATTTTTTGTTTTTCCTTTTACTTGTAGATGCATTTGTGTCTACATGATTATATTTAATTATTTGTTATATTTTTTCCCACGAGTCTTTTTATTTTGTTGTGTTGCTTTTGCATTTCTCTGTCTCCTGCCTTTACATTACTCCATGCATTTCTGCCTCATTATGCAAATAAGGTGGGCGGACCTTGAGTCAGCTCATCTCCTATTGGTCAACAGACAGGAAGCAGCAGGACCCATGTGCAGATCTACTGTGAATGCTTGTGCTGCCTCAGTTTAGTTTAAAGTTTAGTTAAAAATAAAYGCACATGTAAGTGTTTTTTCTCCTTGCCTTTYTTTAAACTACACRTTAAACTTTAAGCTATTTWCTTATTTGTCCTTTTTATGTATTTCTGCTTTTATTTCTAATTATGTTAGTTTTGGTCCTCCATAGTAGTGAAGCCTATTTGTAAAGCATGTTTTAAATAAAGGAATGGAGTTGTTGCACCTAAAAACAGATAAAAGCAAAAATAAGTGCACACTRCTAAATCAAAAATAAAACAAGTAAATTCAACAATTAAGACCATAAGCAAATAAAAATAATTAAACCCATTAGTAAAAGGTCAAATTAAACTGAAAGTTTAGTTTGAAGAATGTGCTTTCAGTCTGCTTTTAAAACAGGACATTGTTCTAAAAGACCTGAGTTTCAGGGAACAGAACCATAATGACTGAAGCCACCATAAGCCAGTTTTAAATCCGTTCTCGTTATGGTGAGAAGACCTTTAGTGTGACCTTAAGAGTCTATCTGAAGTGTATTCAGCGAGAATTTCAACACCATAGGAGCGAGCCAGGCAATTCAATCTTTAAAAGAAAAATCTTTAAATGGAAAAGAGGTTAAGAAAGGAGTAATATGCCAGCGCTTTTTCTTTTTTCTTTTTAAGTAATAATCTGGCGAACGTGTTATYATTTAAAGGCCTAGTGTTTCTTGATGTAATGCATATCATAWAATCGTTTGAATTATTTGCATCAAATCATATTGAAATATGATAATTGTAAAGCTAGATGTCTTGAATTTATTTTTATTTGTCCATCAAACTCATACGGGRATTTACAAACAGCTGAGTCAACAGTTATTTGCTTGAAATTTGCAAATTAATCAGAATTCGGCTTTAAGAAAGTCCTGGACACTGAGCTGCTACGAAGGCTTTGTCCCAAACTCTTACCCTTATAAATCTGCCCAAAAGAAGACAAACGATTTTCAGAGATGACATAATTTATTCCCTAACGGTTAATAATTCACTTTATAAATATAGAGACGTTAACTGCGACCYCATTAAATCCCCGTTCTGCGGTTTATTGTCCATGATGTGAATAATGCAGGATTACATGGTCTTTCTGTTCTGTGATAAATAACTGTGAATCTATTAATCTGTGGATGTGGTTCATCTTGCTGTCCTGAGATATGAATGAATCTACATTTTCAATGAGCACAAACTGACAAAAGAGCCTGGTGAGGCAGGGTGAAATCATCATCTTTACTCTATATCCTGCCTACATGTTTGACTGTTTTCCAGCCAGAAGAGGAAAACAGGAGCTTTTTCATGGAAATTCACTCTCCTATAATGCAATGTGTCCGTTTGTATTGTACAGCTCCGCCCTGCATCGTTAATTAGGGTTAAGTGAAGTCCATGACTGACTCATGAAGAAAAATGCTCCAACAGACTGAGATGAATATTAAAATTGGGGGGAAAAAATGTAGTGGGTGAGCACTGACATAACATTTTTAGTGCTCATTAGCACATTTTTTTTTATTCTGTGTATGTGAGTCAGCCTCGAGTGAAGCTGGCAAAATGCAGTGTGTAACAGATGAACCCATCTGCACCCCAGTTAGTGTCAAACGTGGCGCTGTCAGGTGTCTCATCAACACATTTCAACAGGAAAGCTCAAAGGAGCCCAAGCAGCAGACCACAAGCACCCTGTCCAGCTGCAGCACATTAATCTAACACTAACACTGTGACTTAACACTTTTTCTTTCAGAGATGTCAAAAKGGTCATAAATAATTCATTTACGAGGGAAAAATGGTTTCGATCAGAGCAAACAATTCATAGAAAAAAATAGGAAGWATGAGCTGCAAAATATTGCTTTTACATTTATAGCAGATTYGTTTGGCTTTTAGTTTTCCTTCGTCATATCTGAGCAGATCTAAGTCACAGAATTTAAACATTAATCAAAGCAGTCATATGTTTATAACGAAAGRTGATCATTTGCCATTATAGCAAAGAGTTGCACTACACAAACACAAAACTTCTGAAGTAAATTATCAGATTTAAGAACTTGGATTTCTTTCGACGTCATTATTAATACTGAATAAAACCTCTRAGCAGTGATAAGATGTGATTTATGTAATGCAACTTCTGTCATGATGGGACTCACTTCCATTTGATTTAATTGCATAAATATCACCTTATCGTTAGGATGAGAAAGCCTACAGCCAAAATGTACTGCAGTAATGGCATTTATTGACTTTAATGTGTCTAAAACAGATTCACATTGAAGCAAGTTGTGCAAAATACAAGAATCTAAACTGCAAGMTTTTTTGCCTGTTTATTTCTTTAGCGTGGCTGAAATCAAGTTTCTGTTTTAAAGGGATAGTGCGGTGTTTTTTGTTATTTTTTGGAAGATGTTCTGTCAAATAATTATCACATCGGTCATAGTAGAGCACAAAGTAGGAAGAGAGCAGAAGTCAAGGCTAACGACTACCACCAACAAACTAAACAGTTTGAGCGGAGTTCTTTCATTTCAGAGAATAAAACTATAATCTGGAAAGGGATGTTAAAAATGCCAGATCAATGTTTATGTTTAAGAGAATGATAAAAGTTGGTTTGTTGAAGAAATAGGAAATAGTATAATGTGTATTCATATTTTTGTTCAAGGATTGTTGATTGATAGTTGATGTTTTTGTTACTTGAAGGTTTATTTTTTAAAGGGGCAGCTATACGATTTTTCTTTTTTCTGCTGCCTTTCATTTTATTTGTGATTTATGCTTAATTATTTTTTGCATATAGGATTTGTTATGTTTCAAAATGAAATGAATAAATAATTTAAACCTTCCCTAAACAAATGGTGTCATCCAAAAATAGAGTTTTAACATAAACTAACAGAAAGACATTTGGAAAAATAATGGAGTCAGCTTTCAAACTGCACCATTTGGTTTGTTTCATGATAGATTGTTTTATGCTTATTCAATGAGTTTTAAAGTTTTCTTGTGTARGTGCAAAATGTCTGTTTTTTCCAGCTATTTTTTTTTGTCTAAAATTTTAGTGATGCACAAATAATATTTTAAAAAAGAAAAGTCCCAACCTCCCAGAAAACAAGAAGACTCCAGTGACACAAAAAGTGTGATTGGTTCTCTCTCTATATTTTTTTTTTCAGGCAGTAATCCAGAACAGTTCTTTCAAGCTTTTCATTTCATTTTCTGGCAGCCAGACTGTGATCTTGGAGAGCAGGACTGTAGAGGTCAGGACTCTTAGACTTTAAGCACACTTTTACTTTCTGTGCTCACAGCATCTCTGCTCAAAGTTCTCCCAGGAGCAGAAGAAAAGTGTCCTTCAGTAGTGAAAGGTGATGTGCTGATAGGAACTGAAATAAAGTCACTGCACTCCTTCAAAATCCAAGGCAAGGCACAGAAAGATGAAGACAAAAAAAGAAAGAATCAATGTTTACTGAAAAGATGCAATAATAAAAAAAGGTTTACCTTCTGCAAGCAGGCGGAGCGCATGGACAAACGACGGGTCCAGGCTGTTTTTCTCAGCCACCAGCTCAGGTAAGCACTTCTCCGGATGCATAATGATCACAGCGAGCCTCTTCCACCCGCGGAGCAGGTGAGACGACGGGAGTGCGCAGCGTCCGAAAACAAAACTAACAATAATAATAAAATAAAACCTTCGCTCTCCTCCTGCGCTCTGATGGCTGCAGAGCCGTCTGTCTTGGCGTGGCCTATCTGAGCAAATAAATCAATTTGAAAACACCGCCAGAAAAGTCCAGTCGTCCCAGATTCCTGCTGGACCTGACTGGAGAAGTGAGCTGTGATTCAGAGGTGTGAGTCCATCTCCTCCTCCTCCTCCGCCGCTGCCTCTCCTCGGCGCGCCGCCAGTCTGTCAGCCTCCCAGGGTCTGCAGCTCGCGCTCCTCCCCGCCCCCCAGCAACATTATTGGCCACACTCTGGGACTGGCGTGAAGGAAGGAGAGAGAGAGAGAGAGAGAGAGAGAGAGAGAGAGAGAGAGAGAGA